GGAAAGAGCCCTGTGGGGGAACACGTTGTCTTGGACCAGTCATTTACTTTACTTTGAGCGTCGCTTTCGTGTATGTGAACAACGATCTTTCCTACTTCTTGGGGTTGTTGTGAGGGTCAAGTCAGGTGAGGTGTTTTGTGCACGCACCGTAGGGAGCACGAATTTATGGACTTTAACCATGTGACTGTGTGAAGGTTGTGGGTGAGAGAGAGCCCAACTGGGATGACGCTGCCCCCTCTGGGCACCCTTTTGCCTACATCTGATGTAGAACTTGTCATGCAGCTTTCTAAGGGTCCCTTTGCATGGTTGTCTGCCCTTCTAGATGATGAAAAACGATTGTTTTTTTGGGGAGGGGCACCGTATCCTGAAGACAGATCATGGCCATGAATGTATGCTTGGAATAATGTGTTTTGGGAGACTGAGAAGGGGTAAGAAAGAGTTGCTAATTTTAATTTAGTGGCTTTTGAATCTTAATAATGAGCTATCCTGCTTTCTGGATGGCACTACCTCCTGAAAAATGGTAATATTTACTTGCTTTAATCCATGCTTCGCACACTGTAATGCCTGGTGCCTGGTTCCTGCGTTTCCAAAGTTCTGGGTTTGTCGACTGTATGACTCTAATATTAGACACCCCTGATTTGGAGGGGCTTGGGGCTGTCTACTTTGAGGAGATCTTTACTGTTGTGAGTGTATGGAACGTGGGGTGAGCATTCAGGTCAAGTAAATGGGCTTTTAGTGAACAGGGACGGGTGTGTGCATGCCCTCCCTTTCTGTTCCTGTGTGGTATTTTCTCGAGGAAGAAGCGAGTACTTCTCTGTAAAGCCTTCCAAAGCACACTTAAAGCGAATGACAAATTGTAATCCCCAAATCTTAGTCCAAAGCCAAGAGCCATATTCCCAAAAGCAAGAAGACCTTACTTGAAAGCTCATTAAGAAATATTTCTATTTAGAGTGTTCGTTTTACTTGTGGAGTATGGAAGTGGAAAAAGGCCTTCAACTAAGATTTGAGTTCTAGAACTGTTTGGGTGGGGGGGCCTCAGATGGTTGAACAGAGCCGATCAGGGACTGTTGTCACAGCTGTGTTTAATTGATAAAACCCTATGCTCAGAAGGTGTATCGGGGTCATCTAATTCAGCCTCTTACCCAGTGTACACTAAATGTCTCAGAATATGTTTTCTAGACCCAGAATGAGCACTTACGAGAATGAAACCATTCCCGAAGACAATCTGTCTCAATTTTGAGCAATTCTAATTAGAAATAACTATTATTTTGTGCTGTTAATGTTTATTTCATTTGGCGTGTATGTTTATTGTTTGTTTTTTCACCTTTCTTATTTAAGAGGTTTTTGCCTTAGGGCATGTGTGCTCGCTGGGAAGAGAGACAGACAGACAGTGAGAGGGAGAAATAAGAAATCACCCCTCAGGCGGTATGGTCACACTGCAATTCCTTCTCCTCCGTTCTCCTTTCAGGATCTTGGGCATGCACACACACACGTGCTTGATTTTCTTTTATTTTTTTTTCTTTAAAAGAATTATTTTATTTAACCTTAATTTTACCAGAAAGGGACAGAGTGTGTGTGTGTGTGTGTGTGAGAGAGAGAGAGAGAGAGCGAGAGCGAGCGAGCCAGCGAGCTGCCAGGTCTGGGACTCAATCAGCGTGTGGGAGTCTAGTGCTCTCAACCACCCCACCACCTGCCAACTCCCTAGCATGGTTTTTAAGCCACCAGGTTGAGGACTTGAACCGTTGCGATGTAACCACTACGCTGGCCCTCACCATTCTTTCTTATACTTTATTCCTTCCTTTTGTGTTGAATAGATGTATACATCCTTTAGATGTTTTCTCCGGTAGTAAACATGTCTCCTTCAGTTTTGGTATGTAGTTTAGCTGGATACTAGACTTTCAGTCACTGTTTTTCAGCACTTTGAAACTATCGTTTTACTGAAATTCTGACTTTTTGTTGTTACTCTTGAGAACTATGCTGACAGTTTATTATTTTATTGTAGGTAACTTTTTTTTATTTTTTTAGAATTATTTATTTGGGGCTGGCAGGTGGTGTGGTGGTTAAGGGCGGTTCACTCCCACATGGCTGACCACAATTCAAGTCTGGAACTGGTGGTTTGCTTTCTTACTTTCTCTCTCCCTCTCTAGTCAAATTAGAATAAATTTTTAAAAATATATGTGTAAATATATAAACATATAAAAAGAAATAAATACTTTTTAAAGAATTATTTATTTAATCTTATTTATTATTATTATTTTTTAGTTTGTTATAGGCCTCACTAGAGAGACATAGAGAGAAAGAGAGAGGAAAGTGAGAAAGCGAGCCACCAGCTGGGAGTCCAGCACTTTAGCCTCCACACCACCTGCTGGCCCCTCTGGTTTTTAAGATCCTCTTTGTTGTCTTTTGTGTTCTGTGTGGCTTCATTATATGGTGTGAGTTTAATTTTTCTCACCTTAGCGGGAACATATAGTGTCTCAGCCTGAGCTATATCTTTTGCTTAGCTTGTAAAAATTCCCAATTGTTATCTCTTTGAATAGTACTTACCTTAGATCTCATATTCATACATATTCTTACATTAGACATTCTCATTCTGTCATCTATATGGCTATTTTGTTTTCATAACTTCAGTCTCTATTTTTCTGTGTTACTTTCTGGGTAATATCCTGGTCTCCAAGTATTCTAATTTATTTTCAGTCAAGAATGGGTTTGCTTTTGGAGTTGTTTTCCTTAGCCAATGTTTTCCTTCCTTTCTTTCTTTTAAATTTTGCCTGAACCTGCTTGCACTTGCCAAAGAGAGACAGAGAGAGGGATAAAGCATCCCTATGGGGAATGCTCATGGGCAATCCCTTCTCCATTTCCTCATCCTGTCGGGATTCTGGGCACAGACACACATGTGCCTGCCATGTTTTTCAAGCTGCCAGGTCCAGGGCCTGAACCACAGGCTTGGCCACAGGTCTTCCATGCACTTTTTAATTTTTTTAAATTGTATAATTTTTAAATTTAAAATTATTTTAAAATTTGTTATAGGGAATGTGTGCTCACCAGAGAGAGAGGGGGAGAGTGGGAAATCACCTGGAGAGGGGATGGCCACTCTATAATCCCCTCTCTTCCATTCACCCAGTGTGAGTTTAAGCCACTGGGTCCAGGACTCCAACTGCGATCGACTACATGGGAGTCTAGTGACATAGCCATTACACCAAGCCAACTGCTGGTTCCCAAGCTGGGATTTTTTTAAATTTTGCCATAGGGCATGTGTGCTTGCCAGAGAGAGAGAAAGTGAAAAATCATCCTCCTGGGGGCATGGTTACACTGCAACCCCTTCTCTCCCATCCAGGATTTTGGGCACATACATAACATGCTCCTGGTGTATTTTTCAAGCTGCAGGGCCCAGGACTCATACTGCGCAGTTAGCCTCGTGAGATCCAACTGCCTTAGTCGCCACACACTAGCTGGCCCACTGAGTAAAATTTCGTAGTGTTTAATCATATGGCTGTATCACATTTTGTCATTCACAATTGGACATTTGGATTGTTTCCAGTTTTTGGCTATTGCGAATAAAGTTGCAGTGAGCATTCATTTACACGTCTTTGGACATCTTTTTGGAGTAGAATGGCTGGGTTATATGGCTTGTATATATTTAACTTGTGAAGAAATTGTTATTGGAGCTGGCAGGTGGTATGATGGCTAAGGCGTTGGACTCCCATATGGCCACCTGCAGTTCGAGTCCCAGACTTGGTGGCTTGATTTTTTTGCTTTTTCTCTCTTTCTGGCCAAGTTAAAATGAACAATCAAACAATGATGAATAAAAAATTAAAATAATTCTTTTTTGGGGGAGAGTTTTTTGTTATAGGGCATGTGTGCTCTCCAGAAAGACAGAGACAGAGAGACAGAAAGTGAGAAATTACTCCCCAGGAGGGATGGCCACACCGCAATCCCTTCTCCATTCTCCTCT